CTTCAAGGCTCAGGGGTCCAAGATTATCTTCTGTGTCTGTGTTAATTGGTTTCCCTTTTCTTTGTTGAAGAGGGTCTGTGCAGTCCTTCTGCCTAGTCCGCCATCTTGCCGGAACTCTTGTTGAACTTCTTGAATGAATATATTCTTGTCTTTCATCATATCAAGGAAATTCTCTTCCGACAAATATTCATTTTTTAATTTTAATTTATAAATCTTTAATTTTAATATATCAGGTTCATAAAAAATACCTTATAAGGAGAAAAACATGGTGAAAACACATTCCCGCCCCCAAACCAAAAATACTCCACTGAGTCTATTCTGAAACATAGAGACCCTAAGGGACAGAGTACAACTGCCCATCAAGTGAAAACACATTTTTAATGAAATCACTATGTAAACCAGTTATGGGTGTTATCAGTGTGTACGTTTATATGAGTGTGCTAGGTTTTTTTTTTGTTGTTGTTCTAAACTTAAGCATCTGGTGAGATGTAAGGTAAGAACAGAGAGATGAGTTTTACTTGAATGGAGCTATTCAGTAACATATTAAATGTATGAAGTACAACACTTTAATCTACATTTGCTGGTTGCTTTCATCTTTTGCTTTAAAGTCAGGGCCAAAAGCTAAAAACCACCGAACTTTAAACTTTTCAGCCTGAAAAAATCAAAGATTCTCAAATACTATCAAGAAAGCAGGTACTATATTCTTACAAGGATTAAAGGACTGTACGGAGACAGGATCAACACTGTACTCTGCCTTTAATCTGAAGTGCTGCCAATGAAATCAACTTCAGATGTTTATTCTGAAAGATGCTACTAGGAAGGTTACAGACTGAAATACTGATCACAGTTATTTTCACGATTAAATTTAGGAACACCTCAAAATGGGTTTAAAGAAAGTAACCCGTTACATTATAGGAAATTGCAGTCAATGTCATGAGGCAAAATGTGTATGAACTGCTGTATGGAAAATGAATTTGCTCTGTAAACTTTCACCCAAATCCCAATAAAAATTAAAAAATAAAGAAAAGAACCTGGGGACAGTTTCTAATTATTCATTAGCAACATTTTCTTAAAGACACAGAAGGCTACTGTTTTACTATAAACAGGAGGTTTAAAATCGTCTCCCCTCAATGCTTTGAGCTGCTGCATGGCCATAAATGACAGACCCCAAATGATTCTGAATCACCATTAATACCATTTAGGCAAAAATCCTTATGTGTCAGTACTTTTAATGTTGTATACATCCAACTACAGCAAACAGACACCTCTGAACACACCGCAGCCTGCTCCTGTGGCCAGCACCCTGTCACAGTAAGCCAAGCTTATATTCCACCATTGTGTGGGGCTCCCCCATTACTTCACTCTGTGATGGATCATTAAGAATGTCTTCAAATCCAACAGACTCATCATTACCCCTCAAAATATCCAGTGAAAGGTTTGAGCTCAGGAGAAATGGAAGACGCTGAACCTGCTGCACGGCCTTGAACTCCATCTGCTGTTTTAGTGGCGCAAACAGGCCCTGGATGTTTCTCAGGGTGGAGAGATTCATCTTATCTTGGTTGAGCTGGAAGTTTTTTTCTGATAATTCAAGAGGATGACTAGGCAAAAGTTCATTTTTCACACAAGAAAACCCTTTCCGAAGCAGATCATGACTTTCAAAAGGCCCACTTGCTGAAAGCTCAGGCACGGGGATACTGTCTTTAAGCTGAGATCCAAGTCCTCTGGCATTCATCTTGAGCTTGCTCTCTTTATCGCCTCTCCTTCCAACAAATTTTTGACAATTTTATCTGTCTCTTCCTGTTCTGGAATTCCAATTACATGTAGGCTATTCCTCTTGAAGGAGCTCTGGTAGCA